TTATTAATACTCAATCAATGTTCATTCAGAGGCACAAATTTATTAGTCCAAGAGGCTTAAAAGACAGGACAGCACAACAATTTGAAGATTTACAATAATTTTTCCATTTCTATTACCTGTTTACGCTCTGGTTCGAATTTCTTCTAAAGCTCTCTGTTTCACAACTTTTTTTTTTCCATGATGATAAGGCCATTTTTGAAGTTTAATAGTCATAACAGAATAACACCCTTAATTTTGTATCAGGTATTGAAAAGAAGGTAGTTTAAGACCAGTCAAAACCAGTTACATAAAGATCATTTTATCTTTAATCCTGGTAATCCAACCGTTGGATTGATCATGAAGCTTGTTTGGAAACTCCTTGCCAAGTTTGCTTTGTGAAATCCTTTGATTGCTCATTGAGGTTTGGTTACTCTTATCTGGATACTTTAATACATTGTTTTCCTTATTAAATTAACTCAATGTAAATATTTTGTTTTGCTGCTGTGAAGCTATTTAACATGATTTAATTAAATATTTCTTGATAGATCAACGTTATAACATGTATGCGATGAAAGAAGTGCTCAATTTATGGTTTTTACATTTCCTTGGTGAGCTTCTATTTCTATATTTACATATCCTACTGGCTTTTTATCGTCCTTAAAAGGGGATTTTTCATTTATGATAAGCATTATTCATATTTTTTTATCATTTCACATTTAATAAATTAAAACTATGATTCATCACTAATTATGTTACAGGCATAGATTCATGACATCCTTCACTTCAGGTTGGTTTTCTTCTTAGGCTCCCTTTTTTTCTCTTAATTTCATTGGGATCAGGTCTTTTGGAAGTTTTTTAGTTCTTCTTTTTCCCAAATTGAATGTGAAAACAAATTACAAGTATTAGTTTAGATGTGGTGTGATGTGATGTCATGTGTCTAACACGTGACGATGTTTTATTGGATAGTCTCACCATGATGAGACTTTCTCATGTAAGTTTTTCATATAATTATAATGTGTTATTTATTTGAAATTATATTGTAGAGTTAAAGCAAAATAAATATAGTATATGATTTTTTGTTTCAATAACTATCATAATCATTATCATGTTTCAACCATCAAGCATCACTAATGACTACTTGTGTTCAAATTCCAATGGAATCCACTTAAAATCATAATATCATTATCTTGATATGAAAAAATAAGGGTTTGCCTGTGTGTGATGTTAATCAAATTTTAAATTATTTAAAAGTTAATAGAATAGACACATCGTACAACTATATATTTTTTGCTTGGAGCATGCTATGTAAAAAGTTTAAAGGTAAAACTATAATAAATGTTTATTGTTTAATAATTTAACAAATATAAAACCATATTATTCACCATATGCATATATGAGTAATATGTATCTTGACTTACATAGTTTAAATAACATCACATTATGTCAAAGTCTTGTATTCTTTTATTGGATTTGCTTTCACAAAATTGATGTCGTTTAGTAGTGATAATTGGTTTTTCCAACTTTTCTTTCACGACTTGTCCCTACATTAAATATTTTTTTGTGTAGACTTTTTGTCCTATTAGAAAATCAAGTATGGAAATTGCATTAAGCTTCAAGAGTCATGTTGTTTGAGTTAGTCTTCATGAAATAGATGTTTATGAGTCATGACAACTGGTTTTCCATGACTTTTCTCCACAACTTGGTCTTACAATAATAAAAAGAATAAATTGAAAATTGTGAGAGCCTTTACCCATAAGAATAAAAGCAATAAAATCAAGCAAGGGAGAATAAGATAATTGTGCTTACTTCGTTCACAATGGAAACTATTTTTAGGGTTATATATACTCATTTAAGATGTTAAGTTTTAAGAACACTCAGAATGATCATAAGATGCTTTTAATAATCTCAGGAGGGTTTGTAATATTTCTTGAAAATAATGATTGTGGAAAAATTACCATCTTCTAAAGTTCTATTAATAACCCTAAGTTTTTATAAAAATCACTAACATATCCATTTTGCATAGCTCAAATTAAAAAATAAATAAATTCTATGGGTGAATTTGGTCCTTTAAAAATTGATTTTTGTGTAACCCGGTTAGAATGTTTTCTCGTATAAGTTAGAAATATTCTTATTTTATTTTATCGATAAATGTAAAAATATTTTTATTCTAATGAAAATCTCCTATTCTCCATATCAGTTATTCCTATCCCTAATTTTTAAATTAACTTTTCCAAGAGCGACATAAAATCAAAAAAATCTTTGGAAAAAAAAACCACAAAAGATCTCAACACTATTGTAACCAATGTTTAGTATTAAAAACCTAAATTATTGTTCATCAATTATAACTGAAGAAAACAATATTATATCCTCTTTATTTTCTCAGAAATAGAGTTCGTATTTCCAATCAATTGGGTAAAAAAGACCCCAGGCATAATGTAGATAGATTCGAGAAGGTTGTTTCTTTAGTGAACTTGACTTATAAAAAATACCACGAAGTATCGTTTTGCTTCTTTCTTATCCAAATCCAAGGATCATTGCAATTTGCAGGTCCTTGGCTCATTGCTTTAGTTTAATAAAATACCTCATTTAATTTGTCAACTAACAAACAAAAAGTGATTAACGTGTTAGGTATTTGTGTTCATGAAATGTCTTTGATTGGTTTTTCTAACCTTTATTACACGCTTACTCTTACATTAAATAATTTGTGTATTGACTGTTGAATTCTTGTCCCATTGGAAAATAACCTATGGAAATTGTATTAAGTCTAAAAAGTCATTATTTTGAGTCAATCTTCATGAAAATAATTGGGCTCATTGTTTCATTATTTTCTATCATTTTTAATCATATTATCAAAATACTGTTTGTTTCATTATTTAGGAAATTATTATATTTTATTCAGTTACTTTTAGATCCCTTAAGTTTATTATTTATAAACACCCCTAGAAAAAAAAAGTTTAAAAATTAACAAAAAACACCCTACCCACCCACATTTGCTAGATTCTGGCGGCCACCGTCGGAAGATGACCGAAATCTGTATAATGACACACTATCACTGGATCTTGCTAGTAGTGCGCCGATCTATCATTTTCCGCCAGATCCACCGTGGATTTGGCCGAAAAAGATCAGATCCACACCAAAGATCTAGCTGTTGTAGCCGATCTTGGCCGTAACTGGACGTTAACAACGGTCATATCTTTGATCGTCATCATGACCAGATCTGACTGTTGACAGCCAGATCTGGCCATAGATCCGGCTTTTTTTGGTCAGATCCACGGTAGATCTGGCTGAAAAAGGTCATCTCGCACACGACCGGCCAAATCTAGTCGATTGTGCACTAATATTAAATATAGGTTTTTATCTCATTACTATGTGATTTAATCAATTTTAATTGGGTAAAAGTTAATAGAATTTATTAAATTTAAAAGAAAAACTATAACTACATGTTAACGAATTTTTTTTTTTTAAATTAGAGATATAATAAGTTTTTTTTAACATAATGTTAATTGTTTAATAATTTAACAATATAAAACCATATTATTCATCATATATATATTATTAGAGTAATATGTACTTTGTTACATGGTTTTAATCATTAAAATAAGATAAGATAATGCCAGTCTATTCTTGAGCTGGATGTGTTTCACGAAATTGATGTTTTGAGCCGTGGTAATTGGTTTTCCGATCTTTCTTCCAGGACTTGACTCTACATTATTAATTTTTGTGTAACTTCTTGCCCCCATTGAAATCAGTATGGAAATTGTATAAGTCTCAAAGTTATGATGTTTGAGTCAGTCTTCTGAATAGATTTTTTGAGATGTGATAATTGATTTTCCAATACAACAATATATCAGCATAACCTTTTTTCCATAACTTAGGTCCCCAATTGAATTGTTCATCAATTATAATTATTGAGAAAACAATATTGTCCTCTTTTACTTATTGGAAAATTATAGTCTATGAATTTCCATTCAATTGTGTGGAAAAGACTTCTGCAATAATGTATAGAGAGATTCCAAGAAGCTTATTACTTTGTTGACCTTGACTCATAAAAATATTACAAAGTATTGTTTCTGTAATTTTCTCAAAAGCACTGGGGTTTTTTTTTCCTTTATTAAAATCAAACACTTACAAGTCTTGCTTCTATATCTAACAACCAAGTCATTGCAGGTCTTTAATTGGTTCATTTTTAAGGTTGCTACCGTTTAATAAAATACTGATTTATTTGTTTACACTACCAACCAAGAAGTGATTAATAATTAACTTCATTTCAAAAGTGGTTATGCGCCTATGCGTTATTATGAAATAATCCATTTTGTAAAAGGTTTTAAAGATTAAATATCAAAATGTGCTACTAATTAAACCTTTTCATGTATACCATATGGATGTATATAAATTAAAAATTGTTAAATATATAGAAATTGATTTTGTTTATTGAAATTGTCAGACACACTCAAACAACATATTATATGACAATATATCTTTTTACAAAAAATAAAATGTTGTTAACAATCTAATGTTACTTAATAAAATTAGTTATGGTAGAGAAGTCTCAAACCACGTAATTTGATTTTTTCAAGCTAGTTGCAACACTGGGAATTTTCCTTCCACAACAGTGGGGGCCAACATTGATTTTGCCTTCTTGACCACTTCTATGCTCTACAACAAATGAAGTTGTTAGTTGAGAATTATTTATTGTGAAAAGGCAATACTTTTATTTTCTAGTCAATACAATAGTGATATCTAATAATATTATAAATAGCACAAAGCTAATCTCTTGGCAGTCACAAAAGCAGTGCGATTAGTGTGTTATTAAGAGATGGGGTTAAAATGTGTGAGATTGTGGTTGATGTTGATTTTCACGTTTATTTCTTTACAAGGATGGAAGATTGAGGGGTGTTTGAAGCAAGAGAGATTTGCTCTCTTGCAACTTAAACGTTTCTTCAATAATTGGGTTGAGGGAGATGGGAATTCAAACTGTTGTGATTGGAGAAGGGTTGAATGCAACAACACAACTGGCAAAGTGATCTCTCTTGATCTCTCCTATACAAGAAATCAGGAAATGGGAGAGTGGTATCTAAATGTTTCTTTGTTTTCTCCCTTCCATGAACTGGAGAGACTTGATTTAAGTGGAAATCTTATAGCCGGTTGCATCGAGAACGAAGGTTTTTCCATCCTTACTTTAAATAATGAAATTTACTTCTATGTCTTTATTAACAAGAATTGTTTTGTAGGTTTTCAAAGATTATCACACTTGTCTAATCTCGTGCATCTTGACCTTAGCTACAATATGCTCAATGACATCCACGTTTTATCATGTTTGAGTGAACATTCAACTTTCGAGAATTTAATCTAGATTAAAAGAACTAAACCACTTTAATCATAACGTTCTTTTAAGTGACATAACTTTTATTTTCACTTTTATATTTAGATTGATAAACAAAACTATGTACGTTTATTAGTATTATTACTATTATTATTCGACTTATTTCAGTTTCAAGGTTGAGTAACTTGGAGTATCTACGCTTAAACTTAATAAAGTTGTTAATTAAGTTTTGATGATACAAGTTAAATTAATTTTTACTTGGAAATTAATAATCTCCTATACAAAAAATCATGATTTAGGAGAGTGGTATCTAAATGTTTCTTTGCTTTCTCCATTCCAAGAACTGGAGGAACTTGATTTAAGTCACAATCTTATAGCTGGTTGCATCGAGAACGAAGGTTTTTCCATCCTCACTTTAAATAACGAAATTTTACTTCCGTGTCTTTATTAACAAGAATTGCTTTGTAGGTTTTGAAAGATTATCACACTTGTCTAATCTCGTGCATCTCAACCTTGCATACAATATGTTCAATGACATCCACGTTTTATCAGGTTTGAGTGAACATTCAACTCTTGAAAATTTAATCTAGATTAAAAGAACTAAACCATTTTAATCGTAATGTTCTTTTAAATGGCATAACTTTTATATTTAGATTGATACACAAAACTAAGTATGGTTATTATCATTATTATTATTGGACCGATTTCAGTTTCAAGGTTGAGTAACTTGGAGTATCTACGCTTAAGCGGTAACATATTCAACAATAGCATATTATCATATGTGTCTACTCTGTCATCGTTAAAACAACTACATCTGTATGACATTGGATTGAAAGGCATCATTGATCTTCAAGGTAAGCTTGCTTCTCATCTATAATTTCTCTTATGTATAACAATTTATTTTGTACTGAAGGCTCTCTCGCTCTTTGCTTTGACAAACTAGAGTTAGAGATATTGCATTAAAGTAAATTAAAAGCCTTGATTAAGATTCTTTTGGAAACTTCAGTTTACTCTATCCAAACATCTTCATTTTCTCATGGTTTTAGCTAACTTTGTACTTAAACTTTTTGACGAACACGAAGAAGGTAAAGTAATTGAGCAGAAATAAGATTTGCCAATAGGGATTAAACTTATATTCATTTAGAAAGACAATATTGAAGCCTAGAGAGAATATGTAGAAGTAATTAATATTGGCTTTAGGAAAGTTGTTAATTAAGTTTTGATGATAAAAATATTTTAATAGCATCTTATCATATCTCTAGTTGGTCTTTCATCATTGAAGGACTTTCACATTGGTTTCAACAAAATTAAGTGCATTGAATTAAAGTCTTCTTAAATACTTTTTTTATTACTTTTAACTCACTATGTTTTAACCCTTGTCAGAATTGGACTCTTTGAGCAACTTAGAGGAGCTGTCCATGGGAGAAAATGGGATTAAAAAAATTGTATTCTCCAAAGGTATGTATTGGTGATTAATAATATTTAACTAAAAAAATAATATGGTAAACTTACATTTCTAATCGATTACCAACATTCCTTTGCTTTATGAGATGCACAATAATAGAATGTATTATATTTTTATTCTAATTATTAAATCAGATAAATTGAAGGAACTTTATTTTTCAATTTGAGAAAGCATTGAAAACATTTGTGTTTGAATATTTTCACAAACACACAGGTGAAACAAGTTTGAGGAAGTTGAATGCAGTTTATCTATCGGATTTGATTATTAGTGATGGAAACCGTCTCTTTCGGACATTGGGCTTATTCCCATCCCTAAAGTCTATTGAATTATGGTTTATCAACTTTACTGGAGCAGTTACTACTTATGGTAAGTTACAATAATATTGAAAGTAACATTAATATTGCTCAACAAAAAAGAAAAGAAAAAACATTCCTTTAAATTATTGTCATAAAAATTTAAGTTACAATAATAGCGGCTCCATGCAAAAGACTATAAGAAATTAATTCTTTTCTTTTTTTCTTTTTTGAATATCTTTTCTTTTTTGTATTTTCTAGCTCTTTTAAAAATATTTTAGTTTGTTTTCCTATAAAAATTGTTACAATTTTTTTCGAGGAAAAGAAAAATATTATTTTGCAGTTATTATTAATTTATGGCAAAATAAGAATATCCTTTCTTGTCACTTGTCAGGGTTACGTTAGTCGTTTTTATGTTTTTAATAAGGGTATTAGAGTAAATGTCATTAAAACAGTTAATTTTAACAAAATTTAGGTGTTAAGTGGCCTTTTTAATCAAGTTTTTAATAAGAGTATGACTTCTCTTTAATCTATGGAGATTATTAGTAGTAACCTCAACGAACACTCTATTTGACCAAACTTGGTAACTTTTCCCTCTCCTTACAAGTTCAATTAATTTTTTACTTGGAAATTAATAATCTCATGTATTTTTAAGCAATTTTAAAAGAATTTTAAACTTTTTTTATCAAATAAATGTTCATTACGCGCTAAATTAAAAAAATTATAAATATATCTTATATATCTTTATGAGTATAAAGTATACACTCTATGTAAGAAATTTTAAAAGTGAAACTAGATATTTGTTTATTCAATTATAAACTTGAAGGTTAATATTAAGAAAACCAATTCTAAATCAAAAGACTAGAATTTGTTTATAATATTAATTCAGGCTAATTATTAATATTTTTTTCTTTGCAATGTTGAACTGAAATGTTTATTGATACAGCATTCATTTGTTATTTATAAGAATATTAATGTCATATATCAGATTATGGTAGTTTAAATTCTTGATTTAAATAATGACACTAATTTTTTATGATAGAATTAAAGTAATCTAATGGACAGAAGGAGGTAAAAGTAACTCCTTAAGGGAAGAGTAACAATTATTTAGTATAAAAATTTAAAATCAAGAATTTTAGGTTATTATATAGCCTAACCTATATTCATAATAATATAAATTTATTATATTTAGAATATTAGATCTTTAGTTGGAGGATTTCAATTGGTTTAAATTAAGGTGTCTCATGGGCAACCATCTGATTAATTTTGGGACAATAAATTAAATTAAATATTGGTAATTAACAATGAGGTGCACCGAGTTGGGTGTACATCCCACTTATCTTCTTTTAACTTCTTCTTCTTCATTTTTTATATGATGATTAATAGATATGCGGAGTTTCAAGAATTTGGAAAGTTTGTCGATGTATGAGACTCTGTTCAACAATAGCTTTTATCAAATCATTGGGGCCATGACTTCTCTTCAGAATTTAACAATGTGGGATTGTACTTTCAAAGACACACTACTTTATCCAGGTTAGTAACTTCCACTCTCTTCACAAGTTGAATTAAATTTTATTGGATTTTAATCTAAATTAGTAAATTATTAATTTACACTTTACCTCTGTTCTAATTGATAACGCTCTTATAATTTAATTAATTAATTAATTTTAGATAAATTAATATTCTGAACTACTGTAATGAAATTATATCCTTTGAATTGGTAAACTACATTTATTTACCAAGGGTTATTCTATCTATACTATTGATAAGAAATTAAAAATATTTTTCTTTCTTTTTCTATTATACATAGAGTAGAATAAAAATACAACTATCATATATACAGTATTTGTTGCTAGTATTATCAATTGATTTTGCTATTAATAACCTTTTTTTTTTTTTTTTTTTTGACAAGGTAAGAAATACCTCTTTAATTAATCTCAATAATTTTAATAGTTGTAAAAACTACTACATTAAAAAAAAAAAGAAAAAAAAAACTGTATTATAAAACTTGGTTCAGATTTTAAATGCTCATAAGAAAATGCAAATTGAAATTCTAATTGTAGTCTTATAGATAGTGATATTGTCTATCAAAATAAATATGCACCAATTTTTTATACTTTTAACGTAATATGCTATCAGTATATGTATCTCCTTCAATCTCATTATATTTTTTGAGTAAGTGTCGCAGTTTGCCTACTTCAAGAATTTGAAACTTTTGGACATTCAAGGAACTGCTCTCAATAATAACTTGATTCCATTGTTAAACGGATCGTTGAATTCTCTTGAAACTCTAACTGGGTGATTGTAATCTTACAAGCACATTACTGAGCAAGGTTAATACTTCTCTTTCTCCTTACCAATTGACTTGTTTTTAATAACTTGTAACTAGTTTCTTCTAGAAAATAACTGTCCCACAAATTAGGCATGAATCGTCTGCATATTAGAATTTTAGATTAATCATATATATCACATTATCTAACAAGAACTTCAATTAACATCTTGCATTTTTTGAGTAATATTGTTCACAGTTTTGCCTGCTTTCAAGAGCTTGAAAGATGTGGGTTTTGGTCATGGCTCTCAACCCTTTCCTACGATACTCAATGGATCATGCAATTCCCTTGAAGACTATCTCTGTCCGATTGTAATCTAACAAACACATTACTTGAGCAAGTTAATACTTCTCTCCTCTTACAAGTTTAATTAATTTTTAGTTTCCAATTCAATCAGCTAACCTATTAATAAGTATTTATATTAGCAGTTGACTCTTTTCAATAACTTTAATATTCTGAACTACTGTATGAAATTATATCCTTGAATTGGTAACTACATTTATTACCAAGGGTTATTCTATCTATACATTGATAAAAATTAAATATTTTTCTTTCTTTTTCTATTATACTAGAGTAGAATAAAAATACAACTATCATATACAGCATTTGTTGCTAGTATTATCAATTGATTTTGCTATTAATAACCTTTTTTTTTTTTTTTTTTTTTTTTTTTGACAAGGTAAGAATATCCCTTTATAATTATCTCAATAATTTTAATAGTCAAAAAACTACTACTAAAAATTAAAAAAAATAAAAAAACGTATTATAAAACTTGGTTCAATTTTAAATGCTCTAAGAAAATGTCAAATTGAAATTCTAATATGTAGTCTTATAGATTGTGATATTGTCTATCAAAATAAATATGCACCAATTTTTATACTTTTATAATCTAATAGCTATTTAGTATATAGTATCTCCTTCAATCTCATTATATTTTTTTGAGTAATGTTTGCAGGTTTGCCTACTTTCAAGAATTTGAAACTTGTGGACATTCGGAACTGCTCTCAATAATAACTTGATTCCATTGTTAAACGATCGTTGAATTCTCTGAGACTCTATACCTGGTGATTGTAATCTTACAAGCACATTACTTGAGCAAGGTTAATACTTCTCTTTCTCCTTACCAATTGACTTTTTTTTAATAACTTGTATAACAGTTTCTTCTAAAATAACTTGTCCCACAAATTAGGCATGAATCGTCTGCATATTAGAATTCTAGATTAATCATATATATCACATATTATCTAACAGACATTCAATTAACATCTTGCATTTTTTAGTAATATTGTTCACAGTTTTGCCTGCTTTCAAGAGTTTGAAAGATGGTGCGTTTGGTAACATGGCTCTCAACAACTTCCCTGCCATACTCAATGGATCGTGCAATTCCCTTGAGTCTATGCTTACCAGTTGTAATCTCAACAAACACATTACTTGAGCAAGGTTAATACTTTCTCTCCTCTTACAAGTTTAATTAATTTTTAGTTTCCAATTCAATCAAGCATAACCTATTAATAAGTAATTTATAAATTAGCAGTTGACTCTTTTTCAATAACTTTTATAACTACTTTAAGGGATTTATTACTAAACCCCCATAGTTCATAAACATGTAACACCCGCCAATATCAGAAATATAAACTAACCCCCATTCTTAAAAAAAAAAAAGTATTTTTTAGAGGAAAGAAAATTATTAATTTACAATTATTATTAATTTACAGAAAAAAAATATCCTTTCTTGTCAGAGTTATGTTAGTCTTTTTTTATTTTGATAAGTTACTAAATTTTAATAAAGGTTTTCCAGTAAATGTCATTAAAAAAATTAATTTAAACAAGATTTAGTGCTAAGTGACCTTTTTTAATCAAGTTTTATAACTTACAGTCTTTCCCTTATTGTATTTAAATAGTGTTCCTAAATTGATAATCTTCCTATAACTTTTTCATCTCCTTACAAGTAAAATTTATAATTTTTAATCAGGAAATTAAACATTATTAGGCACTAAAGTGTCAAATGTATAAATAGAAAAAGTAACAGCCTCCTATAAAAAGTGCTATCTATTAATTAACAAGGGCCAAAGTTCAAAACTTTTCTTGCTAACTAACTATAAGTTGTTAAATTTCAATTTATTTTTCTATATCAAATATTTTTAAATTACAATAACCAACGATAATATGAAAAATACTTGATATAACTTTTGAGGTGATCAAGTTGTATGTATGATGTTCCATAAATCTCAAGGGAGATAATATTACTTTTGTGCTTTTGTAAAGTTGCCTTCATTCAAGAATTTGATAGAATTACCTATCGAACACTGTTTTTCACAACAACTTTCTTCAAATGATTGGAGCTATGACTTCTCTCAGTCATTGGTATTTATGGAGTAACCTCAACGACACTTTATTTGACCAAGGTTAGTAACTTTTTCCCCTCCTTACACTAAATTAATTTGTAATTGGAAATTACAATGTCATGTATTTTGGTTGACATATAAGCTAAATTAAAACATATTTGCAACCAAGCTCTTGTTATTCATGCATGAACTTGATTAAAAATGAAATCGCTTCTTTCAACTGCAACAATTATAATCTTCACAAGATTATGCTTTTTGAATAAATTAAGAACTTTCTTATTTATGGCCTATGCCTAAATTTAAAATGGAACGCTTTTTAATATAAATTTTGATAATGTTCTTTATAAACAATTATTTATACAAACTTCAGTATACATTAATTTCACTCTAGTATTTTCATTACTATTTGATTATAATTTTAAAAATAAAATTTATATTATTATTTATAATATTGATAATGATAACAATTTCTAATTTAGAATAAGTTAATTGGTTTGGGACATTCAATTAATCTTACACTAAAGAGGTTAATAGTACCATGAGATAACTTGTCCCAAAGGGTTTGGAAGATAGTCAAAACCTAATTCAGAATATGAAATGCTGGATTGACTCTAGTCTCATAGATCATTCATATCTTATTGTCCATTATTTTGTTATTTAGGCTTTTTTTGTTTTAAATTTATTTTGTTAAATATAATAACATTAATAGTTTATGGTATATCTTTTCTATTTCCACTATATATTTCTTTTGCTTTATTAGAATTGCCCACTTTCAAGAATTTGACAGAGTTGGACGTAGGTACAGTACTTTCAGCAATAAATCTCTTCAAATGCTTGGCATGACTTCTCTTGAGTCTTTATTAATTTACAATTGTAACCTCAAGAACACGTTATTTATAAAGGTTAGTAACTTTTTCCCTTCCTATGTTAATTTAATTGTTTCATTGAAATTTTTATCATATCTGCAATCAATGGCCTATTATTATGATATAAGATGATAATAATAGGAAACTTTCCAAAGTTGAGGAGGTCAGTGACCCTCTGGCTTCGTCCCTGCTTTTAACTAGGTTTACATGTTTTCTTAGAATATAATATATTCGAATTGATTATTATTCTTCATTAAATGTTTGATTATAATGTTAAAATTAAATTAACATTTATATTATTATCTAAAATATTAATAATGATAAAAATTTATAATTTAGAAATTAGTTAATTTGTTTGGGACATTCAATTAGTTTTATACTAGAAGTCTCTTAAGGAATGAGATAATTGTCCAAAAATATTTAGGAAAAGATAACATCTAAATGTTTTCTTAGGAGATAATAATGTCGAATGAACTGATTAGTGATTAGAGTAAATAAAATTACATAAATCTCAGCAAAATTTTGTACCTTAAATATGATATAATACTAGTCATTAACCAAACATTGAGTTGATCAACTTATTGGGTTATTGTTATGTATCTTCTTCAACTTCATTCATTATATTTTCGTATGATCTTAATAACTTAAAAACAAAGTTGGTTGTCATTAAACCGTAGCATCATCTGAATCAACCTATTTTTACTATTTTTAGATTATAATACTAGTAATTGATTGCACTATGCCATTGGATTTAGTATCCAATTTACTTTATAGGATATATCTTCTTTAACCTCATTATATCAATATTTTGTGTAATGTTTGTAGATTTGCCAACTGTAATGGATTTCACTCGCTCTCAACTTTACTCAAAACATTATATAAATACCAGTAATTGATTTGAACTATGCCATTGGATTTAGTATCCAATTTACCTTATAGGATATCTCTTCTTTAACCTCATTATATCAATATTTTTGTGTAATGTTTAGATT